CAGTCCCCCAGGAATGAGCATCCCCAAAAGGTAAAGGGTCCCAAGCAGAGACTTCATTCTTCTGCAGAGAAAGCTGGAAAATTCTGGGCCTCTCTGGAAGCTCAGTGGATCAAGTGTTCCTGAGAATGCATCAAGGCACTGGCTCCCATAATCGAGATAAGATAAATCACTTAGTGGATGTCTCAACAGAAAGAGACTTGAGCAATTGCTCCATTAACTCCATCATGTCCTTGAACATCTTTTTTAATAGTGGAAAACACTTAACCATTTAATATTTCAGTTCTTCCCTAAAACCACATTTACATAAGTGCTCAACTCCACCAAATCCAGAAAGAAATTGCCTCCCCACATAAAGTCACCTTGGAGTATTTCTAGGACTCCCACCACCTGCACTCAGCTTCTGCTCTTCGCTCCACACCAGACTGCTGGGCATAATAGGTGCAGTGTCTTCTGCCCTGGTTATAGTGGACATGGCCATTATCCACAATCTCCACTCTCTTCTACAATCTAAGGCTTTATTTGTCTTCAAATGCCTTCTCTTGTTCTGTTAAGAAGCATCTTAAACAAACCCAGATCTCTCCAAATCTAAGTGGTGAAAACAGTTTATAAAACCTATTCCAAGTGGATTTTCCCACACACCCTTCTCATGTAAAGAACTCTATCAGTCCACTCCACCATGTTTTCAGACATACACAAGACACGCCTGAGTATCAAACCATCAGTAAAAGTCAAAGCTCAAGCTAAGCTCATTGCTGAAAGTCCAGTTGAACAAGGCAAGCTTTAGCACAGAGCAAGTAGAGGACTTCAGTGGAGTTCTTGGCTTTTGGGGGCCCAGATCCTTTGCCCTGTATTGATTCATTTATCCATTCATTTATTTTACAAAAATGTAATGAGTATCTACTACATATAAGGCACTATTCTAGGTATTGGGGAGACAAGGAAGAACAAGGCAGGGAGTCCCTTCTTTTACAGAACTCACAGTAGAGTTGAGAGAACAGCAATAAAGTATACAAACAAGCAATAAAATTTCAAGTAAAGGGAATCCAACAATCAAGATAAGATAGAGGAGATAAGGAGCTTCCATGCCCTCTCCTGGAATGCCATCCACCCATGCTCACCAACCTGGAAGCTGCCTGAACTCTGTCCTCTTCAGTTTTTATGAAGGCTGCACTACATGGGCATGATTGATTACATCATTGGTCGTCGGTGAGTAAGTCAATCTCCCCTCCCTGGAAGTGAGGGGGAGGTGCTGCAAGTTCCAACCTTCTAATTACATGGCTGATTCTCCTGGCAACTGGCCCCACATCTGGAGGGACTTTCCAAAAGTCACCTCATTAACTTAAACTCAGAAATGGTTGAAGGGGGCTTGTTATGAATAACAAAACATGATCCTTTCACCTTTATCAATCTTATCACTTAGGAAACTCTAAGGATTTTAGGAGCTCTGTGTCAAGAACCAGGGACAAAGATCAAATATATATTTCTTATTATATCAGAATACCACAGTGGTGTTTAAAGCTCCAGGGCTGGAGGAGCTCACCTAGGGTGTGGGCATGGATAGAGAAGAACAAAGACTGAGCCCTGGGCCAGTCTAACATTGAGAGGACTTAGTGGTAGAGAGAAATCCAGCAAGAGAAATTGAGAAGGAACAGCCAGAGAGATAGTTAGAGAACTGGGAGACTCTCGTGCCCCAGAGCCAAGCATGGAAATCACTTTAAGAAAGTGGGAGTTACCCACTGGTCAAATGTTAAGAAGTCCAGGCAGGTGAGGACTGAGAACTAACCAATCATATCCAGCAGGATAGAGGCTCCTGGAGACCTTGAAAAGAGCAATTTCAGCAGACACGTGGTGGGGAAAACGCCTGCCTGGAGCTGGTTAAAGAAGGAAAGGGAAGTGAGAAAGTGGAGGCGGCAAGCATAGAAAACTCAGTCAGCAAAGCTTGCCTAAGATAATGGCACCTTGCGGAACACTGCGTTGTTATGATCGTCCATCATACCCTTGGGATATAGTTAATCCAGAAATCCTGAATTAGAATTTGGATGTTCAGAATGAGGAGTAACATGCAACACCCACATCACTCTTCCCTCATCCAAGTGAGGGGACAGACGGGCACCTTGGCAGTACTAATTCAGGAGCGTGGGTTTTAATGGAGCTGTCAGTTCCACAGAAGGAGAGTGGGACCTAGAAGGTCAGGGTATCTCCTTTCCATTCGTCTGCTAATTGGAATGGAACCAAGATGGATTCAGGGCAAAGAGATGCATGGGGAGTCTAATTAAAAAGCAAGATTACAATAGGCCTTTCCCCCCAACAAATATGTAATTCCGTGTGCTTATATTGAAGCAAAACACCGTAAATAAAAATTTAAAAATACATGACAATGCACAGTCAGAGGATACATACAAATTGTCAGTAGAAACCTGCAAATAATTTTAAAATGTGTTGTGAGAACATTTGGCATTATTCTACAGGATTTTCCTAACAGTCACTGATAATTGGATTCTCCTCCATCCCCACGTCCAATTTCACTGTAATATGTGGTCTCCTGCCAACCCCACTGGCCAAAGATTACCTTTCTGTAACCTTATGGAATGCAAGCTGTAACCCACAGCACTCAGGGCCGATGAATTGGAACCGCGGCCTCCTCACTAACAAGGGTGAATTATTATTATCACATCTTTCCTGGTGATTAGATTATTCCTTATCATTGTGTTTTATAGCTTTCTAGTTAGACATCTCAACACAATTTATTCACAATAATAGTGTTTTTATTATCGCTGTTTTATAGTTCCAATTGCAGTAAAAAAATTTATTCTCAATTCTATTATTATAATATTCGACTACTAATGGAATTCTTATTTTTATTTGATTGTGTTTTAAAGCCATAACAATAAAATTTACTCCCAAAAATATTACTGCAAGTTTTATGCTCTTTAAACTACTTGATAGAATGCCTGCAAACACATGTGGTTCTTTAAGGCACAGGAGAGAAGGCCTGCCAAAACATAAACATTGTTCTAGGGAAAAAAACAGGGAAATTGGTTCCTATTATTGTGAGACACATGTTCTTTCATAGAGTAAGTCATGGGATGAAAGAAATGAAAGGACCTTAGAGATGGCTGATTTAGAAGAAGATTAAATTCTAATTGGCAGGAATATTTGTTTAAAAAATCAACCTCTTTTTATTACCTGCCAAGCCCTACACATTTCCACCATCTTCGTCCTCCAAAATAATATGCTTTCAAAATGATGCCCACATTTCTCTGGACTCAAAATTGCATGGCTGGTTGCCCTTTTAGTTGGATAGAGGCTGCTATGAAATATTATTTCGAAAAGCGAGGGTCACTTTGAAGGGAACAGCTTCAGTGACTTAAGGATGAGAAGGCACCCAGCCAAGTCAGGTCTGCCCCACCTCTGCTGCTCCTTAGTTTCTCTCACTGAACCTGAACACGAGGACACGGCAATAAACCTCATCATTTTCCATGTGCCTTTTGTGCCTGGAGCACCAAATCAGGGGTGCTAGAACATGAATTCTGATCCATCCAGAAGAGCAAAGTACTAGTAGGATTCAGGAAAGCGGTAGAGCAGATTGGCAGCAATTAAGGTGTGGTTAAGGGCTTGGTCACAGATGGATGACAGATTGACATACAGTCACGAGGAGGGATGGAAGAAGAATGGGTGGAGGTACAAGCAGGCTGACACTCAGAGATTGCAGCCTTCATAGCAGAAGAAGCAAAATCTAAATCTGATTTCTGAGACAGCACCAAGGATAGGCTCTTGTTCTGACAGAAATTTCAGATTGCTGGTATCATCTAACTTAAGAAATGAGTGGATGGATGGATGGGTGGGTGGATGGATGGATCAATGAATGAATGAATGGACACATGGGTCCGTGAATGCAGGGATGGGTGGATGAATCTGTATCTACGGCACATATCCATTGACTAGATCAGTAGTCCCCAACCTTTTTGACACCAGGAACCGTTTTCATGGAAGACAATTTTTCCATGGACTGGGGAGGTTAGGGTGGTTTAGGGATGATACAAGCACATTACATTTATTGTGCACTCTATTTCATTGTTATGACATTGTAATATATAATGAAATAATTATACAACTCATCATAGGTTGGGGACCCCTGGACTAGATCCACCCTCTCACATATACAAGCAGGTGCTTAGCTTGCTGGAACCATCTGCTTCCCCTTGCCCAGGTGTGGAGCTGGGGAAGTGCAGAGCTTAGATGTACCTTCAGGAGAGGATCTGCTGCCGATCTCTGGCTGTGTGTGCCTTCAGAATCTGACTCAGTATTCAAGCTGAGACTATGTGCTACCTGGACATCCCCCTGCCAATGTCTGAGCACGGCAGTGCTACAAGGACTCACCTTCGTCCCAGTGCAGCTGCCAGGGGCAATCCTAGGGCTGCACCACAGCCTGAGGCCCTTCCTACCCAATCCCCCTTTCTTCCCAGTCTCTCTTCACGGGTGTCAGAACTGCAGCATAGGCTGATGGCTCTCCTTGCCTTCTCTTGCTTTTTCTGCCTCCTTGATCTTCCACAAGGATTACACCCCCAAAATCTCTTCCACTTTCAACTCCATCTTGGTATCTGCTTCTCAGATGATCCAGCCCATACACCAGGCAGACTCTAGAACAAATGAAAATAAATGAATATAATTGATCTCGAGTCATGTGGATCTTTCTGTACTTTGTGGATAATTAAAGGCAGAAACAAAATTGAAATTTGGAAGTAACAGGGGTAATTCTACATAGCCAGGCCTTAGCAGGCTTGCAAAATAAAGCCAGCAAACTGCAGAAAATCACATGCTAACTTAGTAACATATCAAGTGAGTTCGCTTTAAAAGACAAAAAAAAAGCATTTTCTATCTCACTCCTTGCTCTGTCTAATGTATTCACAGTATTGTGTGGCAGGGGGAAGGTCTTTTTCTGAAGATAATAAACTTTGCTCCTTCCTGTGTGCTAACATATCTTCTATTTGGATCATGGGGAAGAAGAGGAGCAGGGAAGAAACGCATGCTCCCAAGGGATAAGAGCAGAGGTGGGA